GAAAGACCCACTGAAGGAGAAAAATGCTAATTGGAAATAGAAATTGCCTTTATTTTTTGTGTTTCTTTAATCATATCCAAGATTGTCTTAAGGCAAAATCTTTTTCTCTGTCCCACCTCTGCTGTGAGACTGTCCAGTCTAAAGGGATTTTCTTATATATTTTACATGAGGAATCCAGCTGGTATGTTCTAGTGCATGTAAAGTGCCATTTTATATTTTGGAAAACTATGGAAGAATGGAGTAATTATAAGATGTGTAAGGTCTCCAGATGTACCTGTATTGAAATGGTTTCTTTTTTTAGCTTTTTGGTATTATAAAATGTAGACTGATGTAACTAACAATAGATAAAATGGCACCAAATTTATATATTATGGCTTATACTGTATGAAAAATAAAATTTTGTTTTGAGACAGGATTTTATAACAGATTGGCCTCAAAAATCAATTCTCTTTAACTTATAAATGACTGGGATTATACAAGCTCTTGAACACTGGACTTGGTCTGGGCCGCCCTTTTCTATATATATATATTATTATTTCTTATTTTACATATCGATCCCACTTCCCTTTCTCTCCCTCCCTCCCCTGACCCTGCCACCAGGAGTGCTCTTTTCTAATATTTTCAAAATCGCTTCTCAAACATAAGCCACATTCTTGGCTGTAGAGTTTGTAGCAACAGGAAGAGAGAAGTATAGTTGCATTGCTGTTAATGGTGGTACACAGTTTGCTGACAGGTTGCTTATGAAAAGCACGTTTTAGAGCTGGGATTACCAAGAAAATCACTGCTCTCCCCCCGCCCCCCAGGCCTGATTTGATAACTCAGTAAGGTAGAGAAGAATTCCACATATCTCTACAGTAACTCCATGGTGAATTTATTAGCCTCATGAGGTTAATTTTATAAGATCTTTATTTTATTCATATCTGCATTCCCAGGGCCTCAAGTGGTACTTGATCTAAAGGGATTCAGTTAATAATTTGAATGACGAATGAATGAATTTATGGTTGCAGTGTTATTGAAAATGTTGATTTGTGCCTAATGTGGAATGTATATTTATAATCCCAACACTGGATATTGAAGCAAAAAGCTGCTGAGTTCATGGCTGTCTTGGGGGCTACATAGAAAGATCCTGTCAATAACAAAGTGATTTCCTATAAGTCAGTAAACACAGTTCTTCAGGAATCTAGAGTTAGAACCTCAGCTCAGTACTGAGCTTTATTTCTGTATTTATTTGTTTTTCCAGTTATTAATCATTATAGTTGATTAAGTCAATAAAGGGTATGGTACCTAGTAAGAATGGTAAGTTAATAGAACCCAGTGGACAAGACTGTGCTTGGCTCACACCTAAAATTTTGACCCTACATCCAATCATGTGTTCAGCTATTTGGAGTTTCCTTAGTAATTGATTCCAACCACTCTGTTGTGATTCTACCTTGTGTGAAGAACTGGCATGGTTAGCTTAAAAAATTTTTGGTAGTCTTAGGCTTCAAGGGAACAGAAGAAATATTTCAATAAAAATACCTGAGGGTAGAGAGATAGCTCACCAGATAAGAGGTCCAGAGTTCAGGTCCCTAAAACCCATTTAAAAGTAGTGGTAATAAACTCCAAGAGCAAGCCAGTTATCCCAAACATGATCTGAGTTTAGCAGTTATCAGAGACCCTGTTTAAATATATTAGGTGGAGAATGATTAATGACAACTACAATGACCTTAGGTCCCCACCCACATAAACACATACGTGTATCACACACACACACACACACACACACACACACACACACACACACACACACACACACACACAGGCTCAGCATAAGCATATTCCAGCTGAACATGGGTAATGGGATTTGTAAGGTAAAGGCCCCGGGTTTGTGTTTGCAATATGGCCGTGTCAGCTGTAGTATATTGTGTCTTAAGCTTTCTCAGGTGCTGTCAGTATGGAATTGAAATTTTTTTATTCATTTTATTTTATTTTTTTTGTTTGAGACAGGGTGCCCCTGTGTAGCCCTAGCTGCCCTGAAGGTCACTCTGTAGACCAGGCTGACCTTGAACTCAGAGATCCACCTGCCTTGCCTCCCAAGTGATGGGATTTATAGGCATAGGCCATCACCACCCAGCCAAGAGCAGTTTCTTGATGGGGCTCAGAGAGTAGTGTATTGCAAAATCCTTGTACTTTGTAGGTCTCTTGATTATCTTTTGTTTGGACTCTGGTTTTGGCATATTCAGAGACAATGTGACCTGTAGAATAACAGATTCTTGGGATTTCAACAAACCAAAAAAAAAAAAAAAAAATCAAAATTTAAACAAAAATCTAACATAGAAGAACCTCACAGAACTGCATTTAACAGTGAAAACAAACAGCCTGGCATGGTGGCCTAAGCCTTTGATCCTAGCAGGGACATCTCTAAGTTAGAAGTAGCCTGGTCTACCTAAGGAGTTCCAGGACTGCATGGCTATAAAGAGAAACCTGATTCAAAACAAATAAGCCAAAAGGGGCGGGGAAGGGGGGTGGCGAACAAAACAAAACAAAAACAGCCCTTCTGCTTTCTCCAGAGAGTTGTGGGAGGTCTTGTGAGGACCTAATATAGTTTGGTTTTATATATATATTATTTTGTATTTCCTCTTTTACTGTCTTTCCTAATTATACCCAGTCATTGAAACCTCAGCACACCTTCCCAGCTGCTGAGATCACAGGTGTGCCTCATCTTACTCAGCTGAAGCCTAGATGTTTAAAATAGCTTTAAGAAAAATAAAATAAGATAGCTTTAAGAGAATGGCCAGCTTCCACTCATAGCAAGTTGAACCATTCTCCCCAGTTACTGGGCAGACCTGAATCTCACAACTGCTTGGAAATATCCAGAGCCTGTCTGGTGTATGACTGTAGTTGTCACCTGTCTTACTTAAAAACTGTTTTTCCTGCTGGAGAAATTGCTGAGCAATTAAGAGCATTAGCTGCTTGTCCAGAGGAGTGGTTCAGACCTGAATGGTGGTTCACCGCCAACTATAGTTCTGGTCCCAGGGAATCCAACACCCTCTTCAGGTTTCATTGGTCACTAGGCACACATGTGATGGCAGACATGTTCAGGGAAATCACCCATACACATAAAATAATAAAATAATTTAAAATGTTTAATTACATAAGTTCAGTGCTTCTGTGACTTACTGGATAGCTCAAGCAAGCCATTGACTCTCTTAGCAGATTTCTGAAATGTAATTCTGACCCAAGATAAACAATAATTAGGTATTTATTAAGGAAGCACTTACACAGATAAGAGTACATAACCTCCACAGTCTTCCTGCTCCAGAAGATGCATTGTCTGCCCTTTGGATGCTCTCACTGAGACCCAAGAGAGCAGGAGCCAGCCCCTCCTCCTGATAAGGGGGTCACATCTGAACCTGAAACCACTCTCAAAGGGTGTGGCCACCTCCACAAGTTCACTGGCAAAGCCAGATGCCGCTACAGTGTTGTTCTTCTTTTTCTTACTTGGCATGCATTATTGGAACTTGTGAGTAGTGAACAACAAATAGTTGTCTTCACCATCTTACTTTCTGTAGGCTCTATTCAGTGGAATGTTTTTTCTGCATTGTCAGTATTTATTGAGTAAAGGAATTTGTTTTATATGTGTTTTTTTGTTCTGTTTTGTTTTTTGTTTTTCAAGACAGGGTTTCTCTGTAGCTTTGGAGCCTGTCCTGAAACTCGCTCTGTAGACCAGGCTGGCTTTGAATTCACAAGTGCAGGAATTAAAGGCGTGTGTGTGCCACTACCACCTGGCCCTACATAAGTTTCTTTTAAAATTAAAGAAAATATATATTTTATTTGAATGTATGTGGGTTCATGTATATATGGACACCAGAGGTCAACCTCAGGTGTTATCCAGGTGCTGTGTGTATGTATCTGTCTGTCTGTCTGTCTGACTGGCTGCCTTACAAGACAACCTAGAGGAATCAGTTCTCTGGTGGTCAGGCTTGCCAATAAGTGCTTTTATTGGCTCAGCCGTCCAGCTGGCTCCACTGTGTTTTTTGAGGCATTCTTTCATTGGCCTGATGCTTGCTGAGTAGGTTATAGGCTGGCTGGCCAGTGACCCTAGAGATGTAGCTGCCTGTCTCTTTCTCCTCAGTGTCGGGATTACAAACATGGTTCCTTATCCAGTTTCTTACATGGGATCTGGGGACTGAGTTTTTGTCCTTATGCAAGCACTTTACTGTGATTCTGCAATCTTAGCCTTTTAGTTTTTGAGAGTCTTGCTATGTAGCTCACACTGGCCTGGAACTCACTGGAGCCCAGACTGGCCCTGAATTTACAATCTTCCTGTGTCTTTCTAAATGCTGGTATTACACTCATCACAATGCCTTTTTTCACTGCACTTAAAGAGTTGTGAGGCCCTACTTAACATAAAAGTTTTTAGTTACTCTCCGTACAAGACACTATATGTTAACTGTATTAGTCTTTTATTACTGTAAGAAAACACTTGAGACTGAGTAACTTGATAACGAAATTTGCTTAGCTCACAGTTTTAGAGGTTGGAAGTCCTAACAGCAACAAGGGTCCCGCCTCCCTGATTGTGACATCATGGTGTAGGGATGTTGTAGGAGGAAAAGAGCACATTTCCAAATAGGAAGTCAGAACACGACACAGAGATTAGGTTGGTTAGAATAATTTTTCTTCACAAGAATAACCTTAATCCTTTCTGAAATAATACTACCCATGAGCTAACCAAGGCCTCTAATGCCCAGCCTCTTAAAGACCTTCCCACTTCCCACTATTGTCACAGGAGCAGCTGCAGTCCCCAAACTTACAACACATGAACCCTTGGGGTCAAATTGTACCTAAACCATTATGCTAGGGTGTTTATTTTCTTATTTGTCTTTTGTATTTGTGTGATCCTTGGCTCTTTATATATAAGGTTGGCTTGCATATTGTAACCAGTAAATTACAGTTTTATTCCTATAAACGTTGTAAATAGAGACTAACTTGTTTCAACTGTTTTCTGTATCTGTTGACAGTCTGAAGATGATGAGAAGCTGAAAAAAAGGAAGGAGAGGTTTGGGATTGTGACAAGTTCAGCAGGAACTGGAACTACAGAGGATACAGAGGTGAACTATATTTAGAATGCTTCGTAGAGCTGTAATAAAATCAGTCAAACAAGCAACCCACCAGAATTGTGCACACGCGCACACATGCCCTCACATGTCAAGGCTCGTGTGTGGACATCAGAGGACAGCTCTGGGGAGTCCCTCTTGGTGTGAAGGCAGTCTCATTGTTTCTGTCACTGTGGAGCTTACTCCAGGCTGTGTGTCTTCTGGAGATTGAACTCCAGTTCTCAGTTATCAGGTTCACTTGGCTAACACTCCCACCTGTTTCCCTCATCCTTCTAGGATGCTCTTTTGGGTTTTGTTCTTTTCTGAGACAGGATTTTTCTGTGTAGCCCTGGATGTCATGGAACTGTAGACCAGGCTGGCCTCAGACTCACAGAGATCTGCATGTTTCTGCCTCCCTGGGATTAAAGGTGTACATCACCACCACCACCACCACCACCACTCCCAGCTTTCCTGTCTGATTTCTGAGAGTCTCTCACTGATGGGTTAAGCTGGCTGGTCCAGTGAGTGCCAGGAATCTGCCTTTCTTCCCCTTACCCAATGATAGGGTTACTGGCATGTGCCAGCTCTGCTTCTTTGTGTGTCCCAATGGTTGCTTGTTCAATAAGCAACTGAACAATCTTGCTAATTCCTAAAGTTTCTTTATATAAATAAGTATATATGTCATGAAAATTACAGATCAAGGGCTGGAGAGATGGCTTAGCAGTTAAGAGCACTTTGTTGCTCTTGCAGAGGACCTGTGTCTGATTCCCAGCATGTGGTACACATGCATGTATGTAGTCAAAATAGTCATACGCGTAAAGTAAATAAATCTTTAAAAAAAATTGTAGTCAGATCAGTTTATGCTCTTTACTAGGAGAAAAACTAAAGGGATCTGCCAACTTTGTCCTACTGAAATAACTTGTTATTTGCAGTAAGTGTATGCTTCTGCTTCCTTGCTGATCTAACAAGACAGGGCTTGCCTCAGTGCTGGCGGGAGTTATTTCCTTCTTACATGGAAGCTGTTGTTAAGCCAGGTATTTCACTAAGTGGGGTGCATTGGCTTTTCCAGGCTAAAGAGGTTGGTAGCAACAGTGGCTTTGGTTGGTAGTCACTGTGTATAAGGGAGTAATAGCTTCTGAAGCTCATGCAGTTTATATGGAGCAGAGGAATTTTGTTTCATTTCAAGGATTGTATTCTGCATCAGACCTGCAGTGTGAATTGCTACAGGGAACTCTCCTATGTTCTGGGGCGGTGGCTGAAGTGAAGATACAGGACATGAGTGTTTTTCCTGGGTGCTCACAGCTGACTGTGTGCCCTCTTCCCAACAGTGCTTTCTCTAAGACATGCATAATACACATAACTGCTGGGCCCCATTGTACTCACCGGATGACCCTGGTCATTAAGGAGGCGCCTAAAGTAACTATGCTGTCTGTTGCGATCTGCTGAAGAATAAGTATTCAGACATGATAGGGGAGAGGCTTGATGTAGGAGGAAAAAACCAAAAACTGGTTGTGGTAGGATTTGCTGCAGGAGGCAGAGGCAGGAGGATCATATATTTGAGGCTACCTACTGGCCATGGTGGCACACTTCTTTAATCCTAGCACTACAAAGGCAGAGAGCCAGGAGGATCTCTGAGTTCAAGGACAGCCAGAGCTACACAGAGCAACCCTGTCTTGAAAAACCAGGGACGAGGATGGGGGGGAGAGAGAGAGAGAGAGAGAGAGAGAGAGAGAGAGAGAGAGAGAGAGAGAGAGAGAGAGAAAGAGAGAGCGCCATAATGACTTTCTTGCCAATCCCCTTCCTTCTACACTTTCTGTCTTGAAGAGTCAACTTCTCTGTGGACGGGAGGCCTAAGACATAGCTACTGCCTCATTCTAACCGCTATGTTCTCTTTCAACTAATAGTAAGGAGGTCTTTCCATTTTCTGTCACTCTTTCCATCCCCCACCCTCCCTGTGTTTGTTTTTCCTTTATTTTTGTGTTATGTGTGTGGAGACGTTTTACCTTCGTGTCTCGACTTTTTCCTTTTCACTAAACCTCCCCTCTTCTGACTGGATAGCTGGAGGGATTCAGGAATAAAGTCTTGGGTTAGTAGTTATCTCTCCTTGGCCTTTTGACAGTTAATGTGGATTTGGATTAAAGCTGCCAGGAACTTAATCTGCTATTGTCTTACAATCTAATTTTTTTTTTTCTTGCTTTTTCATTACAGGCAAAGAAAAGGAAAAGAGCAGAGCGTTTTGGGATTGCATAATGAAAAGTTCATGATTTCTGCCTCATAGTGGTTTCCATTTCTCAAATTCTTCATGGTTTTTTACACACACACACACACACACACACACACACACACACGTGTGCCTCACAGTGAGGAAGCATGTACCGTAGGTACATCCTTGGATTCCAGCGGCAGTTTGATTAAACTGCTACTCTGCATTTAAGTTGTTATATTTTTGTTTTTAATTATTTGCTTATTAATAAAAAAAGAAAGAAAAGAGAACATGCGTTTTATTAGGTGTTCCTTTAAATTGCCAGAGCCAGATTAGACCACACTGGGAGTGAGTGTCATTGACAGGTATTAGGGGGAATTAATTGTAATGCCTTTAACCCACAGAAGAGAAGATAAGAAGATTGAGTCTACCTTTTAAGCCTGTTTATTATTTTCTTGATACTCTTTTGTATTTCAGGACAGGGTTTCTCTGTATTATTTTGGAGCCTGTCCTGAAACTCTCTCTGTAGACCAGGCTGGCCTCAAACTCACAGAGACCCTCCTGCCTCTGCCTCCCGATGTGTGTATTAAAGGTGTGCACCACCAACGCCTGACTCTTTATTTTTCATGTTGAGGCCAAGTCACCTAAAGGTTGAAATAGCCAGGCAGTGGTGGCACATACCTTTTTAATCACAGCACACAGGAGGCTGGTGGAGCTCTGAATTTGAGGCCAGCCTGATCTACCAGGACATAGGACTACACAGAGAAATCCTGGCTTGAAAAACCAAACAAGTAAATAAACAAATGCCAAATGCATGAATAGCTAGGTAGATTGTTAAGAAGAGGTTGAAATAACTTATTGAGAGAATGTGGAGAAAGTGTGGGAGATTTTTAGGAATGTAGATAAGATATGAGACTAAGAATTAATAGTCTTCTGCTTTGAATGAAACCCAACTGGGTAAAATAGAATCCATCATGAAAGGGCCTGCTTTCCAGAGTGGTCTAACATTGTATTGTCTGATTAGAACAGAATTGAGTGTGTGGGACCTTGGTGGTAAAAGGTCTGGCCACTCCTGAGGTAGAAGTGTAGAAATCTAAAGTGAGACCAGAAGTCAGAGGTGTTAAGTATCATTACCTAGGTTATTGGGACATAAGTAGAACAAGATGATGCCTGGTGTTTTTGCTCCTCTATCCCAGTACCGGGGATCAAACAGGGCCTTGTACCTGCTGGATAAATGCATGACTACTGCACAGTGGTCCCAACCACGCCTGCGCTTTCTAATCAGGCTTGCAGCCACAGTGGTAATGTGTCTTGGATGTCACTAAAATTCATTCTCCTTTCTCTTTCCTCCCTTAAGTTATATGTAGATCTGAAACCTGCTACTTAGCCTTTTTGATATGTTAATGTAGGTCCCCTCTCTACATCCTTTCTTTTTTTTTTTCCTGGTAGATTTTGAGACAGATCTCACTGCAACCTGGCTTGGGAACATGCAGTGCAGCCCAGAAGGGAGGTCTTGAATTGGATCAGCCTTCTTAGCCTTCTTAGGGCTGTGATTACAGGCAAGCACCACACATCTGCCTTGGGTTTCTCATTTTAATCTCTGTATTTCCAGATCAGTAAGTGCTTGGTTTGGGAGATTTCTTTGGGAAAGTCTTAAAAGTTACCTTATTTGAAAACTTCTCTGCCAACAATTAAATCTTGGGTTGCTATGATGTGAATCTTTGTCCTTCTACCAAAATGGAAAGTTAGCCTTTCTAACATTTCAGTCTTGTACCATGAAGCATGATGTGTGCCTGTAATCACAACACTCATGGGGCGCATGCGGTTGGGGGAGTGCAAATTCCAGGCTACTACAGAGTATCTGGCTCCTCAGAAAGGTGGGGCCCTAAGTGTAGACAGTAAGGGAATTTCACTGGTTACCAGGAAAGGTTGCCCATTTATTATTGTGGCATTTGTCTCTTCTGAGACCTTGGGAAAAACTTGAAGTTGATTAAAGATTAAACTTTTGTCGCCTCCTCAGCCAAATCAATGATGTGATCAGATGAGTTTCTCTTCCCATCATCCTCTATCAGCCCTACCCTCTTTTTTTTACACAAGGCTATAAATAACCTCCAGTTACTTTTTTTCCCCTCTCGGTGATGTTTTCCTCTGAAAACTAAAGAATTGCTGTTTTGTATTAGGAGACAGAGTATAGGTTCATTAGGATTTATAATCCAGAATGACTGCAAATAAATACTGAAGGAATAAAGTAGATGCTGATAATAGAATGTAGCAATGGGGGAATCCTTCAATGTGGGGTGGTTTTTGAGACAGGTTATCTGTGTAGGTAGCCCTGGCTGTCCTGTAACTCCTTACATAGACTAGGCTGGCCTCAAATTCATAGAAATTTACCTGCCTCTGCCTCCTGAATGTGGGTATTAAAGTCGTTCCTGGTATATGTGATTTTTTTTTTTTTCTTTTTGTTTTGATTTTTTGAGACAAATTTCTTCCTGTTGCCCTGGCTGTCCTGAAACTTGCTCTGTAGACCAGGCTGGCTGTGAATTCAGAGATCCTGCCACCCCGATCCCCAACACCCTGTGTTGGGTTTAAAGGTGTGTGCCACCACAGTCCAGCTCTGATCTTTATCTTTTATAACCTTCCAGAGGCATACTCAGTTAACACAGGGTTCTCTCTGCTCTTCCTACACCCTTCATTTTTGAGACAGTGTCTCACTTTGTAGTCCAGGCTGTTTCTAAATTCACAGCATCCTTCAGCATCTGCCTCCTAAGTGCTAGAATTATTAATAGTGGTGGAATTACTACCATACCTGGCTAAGATTCTGCTTTGTGGTTTTACTTTTATGGGTGTGTGATGCATACATGTGTTCATGTGGGTAGGTATGTGTGCCTTTTGAGGCTGGTGGTCCACATTAGGTTTCTTCCTTAATGGGTCACCATTTAATTTTATCAAGACAGGGCTCTTTACTGGCTGGCTACAGACAAATGCTACAGACTTAGCTGGGGTCTACACTCAGGTTCTTTATACTTGAGCAGCAGCATTTACTGACTTGCGCCAGTCCTCTTCTTTTAAGGTACAATCATTGTCTTAGTTTGCTTTATCCATTTCTTAAACCAAAAAACAGGGTCTGATTTTATATCCCTGGCCTGCCTCAAGGTTTACCTGCCTCTGTTGAGGGCTGGGATTAAAGGTGTATACTACCACGTTTGGCTTTTTTTAGTTAGCCCTTTTTGTTCCATTTCTGGATTCTCCTAGCTTCTAAGCCTGAACATCCTCTTCCGTGACCTTTTAGTCATCCCACAAAGTGATCTCGAGTAGATCAGAATGCCTAATTTTTACTAATTGAGTCATAGAACCCTCAGTCCGTTTTGCTTGGCCAGACAGGCATCATCCCTCATCTCCCAGTCTTCTGTGGCTGATGCAGCATCGACATTCCCCAGAAGCTCTTAAGGGGTCTGTCTGGTCTGTGCAAGTCTCAGTGAGGACTGGATCCCTTAGCTATAAAGCTGTACCTTTTTATGGTTCTGCCAGCTCTGAAAACTGCTGAAAGAAGAAGGCTGGAAGGGTCAGGGGTGAAGGCTATAGGAAGGAAGGTACAAGAGCAGAATGTCTTGAATCTTTGAGAGTTGTTAGTCTGACATGAGAAACGGGGAGAAGGGAATTTTGCAGATAGTTGAGATGAGATAGTGACTTTGTGTTTTGTTTTTTCTTGACACAGGTTGGTTTCTCTGTAGCCTTGGCTGTCTTGGAACTTGTTCTGTAGACCAGCCTGGCCAAGAGACTCAGTGACCCCACTGCCTCTGCCTCCCAGGTGTTGGTGGGATTAAAGGTGTGTGCTGCCATGCCCAGCTGGAATAATTTGGTTTTTGTTTTGTTTTGTCTCTGGAGGCAGGGTTTCTCTGTGTAGCCTTGGCCATCCTAGAACTAGCTCTGTAGACCAGGCTGGCCTTGAACTACGTGTAAGTTTTCCTCTACTGCGCTTTTGTCCACAAGGCCTCTGACAAACTTATTTCCTGTTTATTAAAGTCTAGCCTCCCTTTTCTTTTTTCCCTCTTGAAGCAGCCCAGGCTGACCTCAAATGAGCTATGGAGCAAGCTGAGGGTGTCCTTGAGTTTCTGGATCTTTCTCCTTCTCCCTCCGTAGGGCTTGGATTGCAGGCCTGTGCCAGCATGCCTGGTTTTGTGTGATACTGGGCAGGAACTGTTAGGCAAACACCATCTATGCTACATCCCCATCGCTAAGCTTATCACTTGTTTGTCTCTTGAAAGACCTTGGAAAAGGTTCTGTACCCTGCCAACCCTTTGAATCCAAGGTGTTTCTCAACTTTTTCACTTTCTGTTGTCCCTGAATTCACTTTTCCATCTCTCATATCATTTAACAACAGATTAAAACATATTATTGCTCGTGAACTACCTGGGCTTGATTCCTTGTTCTACCTTCTACTTCTGGATCATCCTGATTTGGCAAATTACTTAATGGCTCTGTGACTCTTTCCAAACTATTGTGAGGGTTGCAGTAAGAATTAAATGACATTATCATGTGCTTAGCACACATACCTGATGTAGTTTACATAGTAGTTTTTCGGTGAGTATTAGCTCTGAAGTTTACTAAAGTAAAATAGATCTAGGGTAAGTGGGAGCCCCCAGCTAATGGATGGGGTGGGATGGTGTGGTGAATGGAGCAGTCTTGGCCTTTGTGTGTATAAGTGTTTATGTAGTCTAGCTTCTTTGGGGCAGGGGTGCAGTTGGGTGAGATTGAGAAGAGGCCCAGGCATTGCTCCCTTTCACTTATTTGACAGGAAAGCTTTGATAGAACTAATGAGGTGGAGAAACACTTAACTACAATGGGGAGTGGCCAGCTTGATTTTGGCAGGACTGTTGAGGCAGCCAGGGTTAGAGGACTGAAAAGAGACTCTTTGCTAGGCCATTTGAACTCCTAGGGTCTTCATTCGGTAGGGGCTAGATGTTTTTGTAATCTTTGGGACTGTTTAAGTCCTCTTCCTTTCCCAGCCTCTGTCCATCCTCAGTTTGTACGTGGCAGTTCATTCCCATGCCCTTAGGATTTCCCGTCTTGCTCCTCGGACCTTAGATTTTTAGTCCTTTTTTTCTTAAAAAAAAAAAAAAAAAAAAAAAAGGTTCTTTTAGAGCTTCTTTAGTTCTTGGTCTCCCAAGTGTAAACGTGGCGCTCAATTAGGGAGAAGAACCCACCATGGAATTCTAAACTCTTTGACTGCTTTTATTTCTCTTTTTTCAGGTTCAAGTGCTGGATTGTGTCATGTGACTGTTCCAAAAACTCAGAGCACCCTATGGCCATCTTTGCCCTCTGTCACATAACTGGAAATCTGCCTGATGGCCTTTTTGCAATGGTTCCTTCCTGGAAACCTTGATGTCACTGAAGTCCTTTCCTAGCATTCCAGTGCCCCTGTCAGCCCATACTCCTCAAACACCCTTAACAAACAAAGGCAACCACACACACGATGTAACAAATACACAAAGAATTACACTAATAATGATAATTTGGAGGAGCACTGGCCAGTCCACACAGGTGAGATGTAGGAAGTACCCTTACTGAGCTGCTCCCACTGAACTGCTAGGCCATGTCCTCAAGCCTCTTAGGGGACACAAAGAACAGGAGACTGAGAGTTAACTCAGGTTTGTGTTCATAAGAGAGCCCTTCACCCCCCTGGAAAGGTATTTACCTGGTGGTGGTAATAAAGAGGCAATATTTGAAGTTTAATGCCCCAGCTCTCTAAACTATAGAGATTACCTGATACCTAATTATCCCACCCTTACCTTTTCCAAAGTCAAGAGGCATTAGACCTTAGAGGAAAGCATCTTCTGATTTCCTATTCCTCTCCTCCACCAAGTTAGTGTGGTTGGTGTTGATGGTCAAATGTGTCTTGTTCTTTAAGATGGGGTAGGAAAAAAATGACGAAGAACGGGACCAGAGAGGAGGCTTGGGACTAACAGCTGCTACATGGGAAGTGAGTTGAAAGGCTTAATAACCCTTGTCCATTCCTCATAGGAGACATCTCCTTTTCTTTCTCACTATGAGGATAGGAGTTAGGTGCCAGGGATAGTCACAAACCTTTGTCCTTCCTACGGTCTGGCCCAGGTGAGAGAAACATGCTCTTGGGAAGCACAGACCTTCCTGGCCAGGCTTCAGTTCGGCACTCTCTCTACCATAATGGCTGGCTCTACTCATGGTCATTTTGCTGTGATCTCACCCCACCCCCACAACCTCTTCAGACTCTCTTCTGGAGCCAAGAGGCCACTGGTGAGGTGTGGTTAGAGTGTGGAGATTCTCAACTCATCAGTTTCAGCCATTGTCCAGCTGAGAGGCGAGGGGTACTTGTGCTCTGCAGCCTGTGACTCCTCCAAGCCTCGAGTCTCTTCACCACCATGGTGGTGCCCTGGTTATCTATTCCCACAGCGAGAGGTATTTTATGTCCATAAAGTGCCCGTGGTAAGTGCTCAGAATTCATCTCTTGGCTGTGGTGGGTGCTGCTGTTTCTCTTTCCATCAAGGGGAAGAAACCGAGGCACAGTGAGTCCAGAGGAGGGCGGGTCAGGATTGTGGGAGGGACGAATGGGCCCAGTTAGTGACTTGAAGTGGCAGCGAATCACCTGCCTGCTTCCTGAACCTTCCAAACCACGAATTCTCCATCCTCCCATCCTCTGCTGTAACTGGTCTTGTCACATGCCTATACTGTCCCCTCCCTGCTGTCAGGTACTGCTATATTCCAAAAATAAAAGATAAAATTATAGACACTCTGCTCCCTTGTTCTCCCTCCTTCCACCCTGAGCTTTGGGGTAGGGGACTAAAATGTCCCCCTTCAGAATCCCTTCCACCTTGGTCTCCTGGCTCTATTCCCCAGCCTAGAGCAGTGATTTGGATTCAGATGCCCTGTAACCTTCAGCCTCTTTACTATTTTCTTGACCCTTACCCCTTCCCAGACCTGGGGGACTCTGGGATTTCTAATTTTTATTGACCTGAAGATAGAGGCTGAGAGCAGGGGCATTCCACAGGCTCTTTGGTCTCTTGGCTGAGGGGAATCTGGGGGTAAGCAGGCTGTACCCCCTGGCTAAGGTAGGCCTGAGGGGTAGTTTAGTAGCTCTCATAGTTCCTGGATGTTGAAGTTCCCTTTCCCCCAGCTCTTAAGTCTGAACTTTCTGTCTCCATGACCACTCTGCTTAACCCATTTGGCTCAAGAAAGTTGGTTAGGGTGACTATGGGTTAGAAGCTTCCATGCGTCAGCCCTCTTGCCCTTTACTCCCATCCCCAACCCTGGAGGCTTAATACAAGTGCTTAGTAGGTTGGTGTTGGGGAGAGCAGGGTTTCGGGAGTAAGGGACCAATGGGGCACGGGGGGCAGGGCCCCTCCCATTCCAGTAAAGCCAAATACCAAAAACATGAAAAGTCACAATAAATAAATAAATAAAAAGTTCCCAGGTCCTTCCTTTGCCCCATCCTCGTTTCACTTCTGGTTGGTGTTGGAAGGAGAGAAGGAAGAAGCTAAGAATGGACTTGATTTACTCCTACTGAGTTGTCAGGGGAACTCCCCAAACTATACCAAGCCTCACTTTGCTGGTAGAAAAAAGGAGGCTTGAGGCAGGGCTTTCACTTTACTCCCATTTCAGTCTCTTTCTCCTTGTCTGTCTTTGCCTACTCTTATCTTTAGCCTCTATTCCTTTGCTTTCTCAGTGTTGCTCTGTTCCTCTCTCTCTACCCTTCCATCTTCTTCCTCTGTCTCTACGTGTCTTCTTGCCAAACCTTCTCACCTGCAAATCTCAGATACATTCCACCCTGACTGCCCTTCCTTTCTCCCCACCCCTCACCCCTCCATCCCCACCTGCCTCCCTCTGTTGTATTGCACACTGCTTGGTCAGGGAACAAGGTGTGGTGTTCATGGGAAGAGGTGGAGGGCACTCTAGGGCGTGGGAGAATGGGGACCAGGGCCGGGGTTCTTGGGGTAGGGTCTATGAGGGAGGTATTCACTGTAGCCCACACCTTAGGAGCAGCCACAGCGATCCACCACCATGCCAGGGATCTTGCCGTAGATAATCTGCTGCTTGTCATTGAAGTAGAGCATGTTGATTGGGGACATCTTGGTAGGGGTGCAGCAGGGCCCAGCAGAGCCTCTTGGATTGGCCTGTTGCACCAAGTGGGTGTGTGGATACTTTTGCATGAACATGTACTCGCACTGGCCGGAGCAGTAGTTGGCCTTGTAGCGTTTAGGTGCGATGATCCAGTCCCAGCCAAAAGCCTCAAAGTCCACGGTGAGAGGGTACCGGCAGCAGCGGGACTCACTGGAGTACTCATCGCAGTCCAGGCCGAGGTTCCTCCTCGACCTTTTTGTGTTCTCTAGGACTCGAAGCTCCATGAAAGGGTGCTGAGGGCCAGGGAGAGGGGAAAGAGATGTGACATAGCCCTGAACAGTTTCTCCTTCCTACCTGCATCTCAACAGAAGCATCAGATCAGAAACCATTGACATCTTAGTTTGCTGACTGCTCCCACTCACAGACCTGCCATCTAGCTATCTCTTCTGTTCGCTTTCCCTACCTTTTCCTTTCCTGGCAATGTGACCTCATGAGAGCCTTGGCCCTGAGGGCCAGGGTTTGTTTTTTTTTTTTTTGTTTTTTTTTTTTTTTTTTTTTTTTTTTTTTGATTTGAGATAGGGATCTCACATAGCTCAGGCTGGCCTCAAATTTGCTATGTAGCAGAAAATGGTCTAGAACTCCTGATCCTCATGTCTGGCCTCCCTACTGCCAGGATTAGATAACACCACACCCAGAGAAGGGTCAGGTGTGTGTTCCCACGGGTCTCCCACTAACTAACACCTTCACCCCAAATCCAGTTTCAGTTTTCAGCTGTTTCCTGGCTTAAAACCATGAAAAGTGATAGCTTGCCACCCCACCTCCACCTCCAGAATTAGTTCCTGGCCCCAACTCCATATCCCTGGTCTACTTTTTCTAACCCCCATCTCCTGGGGACAGGTTACACACATCCACCACTTGAGGCCCCCTGCTCACCAGCCCCTCAGCTCCTGGCCCAAGGGAAGTGACAGCCAGGTCTGTGCCACTAGGATCAAAGGCGTTGATCTCGATGCCCCAGTTGCTCTGTGGCTGGCGAAACCAGCTGTGTAGCACTTGCTTGAAGTCGATGCTCTGCCAGTGGCCGGAACGTGAGTGCAGCTCAATCTTTAGTGAACGGATACGGATATGACGCCGGCCTCCACCCCCTCCCCCTGCAGTCCCTTCCCCAGTTAGGGGTTTCAGTCGCAAGATCTGCAGGTAGACTGTGGCTGGACGGGGCACAGGCCGAAGGTACACCCACAGCTGGGCCTTCAGTACCTTTGTGAACATCACCTTGGGGCTGAAGTGGAAATGGCAACAGAGAGGGCTGCCATCTGTCTGCACTGCAGGATCCGCTGATAAGAGAGAAGGGGACACAGCATTAGCAAAGGGTGTCTGTGCAAGGGTTTAGCAGCCCCAGGTGGCTTTAGCAGATTCTTCTCTGTCTGTTTTCCAGATGTTCTTCACCCTTCTCCTGTGCCTGTCTAGTTAGCTACTGTGTCTCTAGTACCTAAATGATAAATTTGTTAGGTCTTAACTGATCTATACTCATTCCCTATACCATTTCTCCTAACACAGAAGATCCATCTACCAAGTGACCTGCTAAGGTGGTTACTAAGTCTCTCACCTGATGCCTTTTCTGCCTCTGGTGCTTCTCAGCTAGTCTCTCTAGCTTTTTCTGAAGTTTTACTATACCTGCTGTCCTCAAGTTAGTTACCTTTCCCCATTTCTGCCCTGGTTTATCTACTTAGCCGGTGGAACCTGGCACCCCCCCCCCCACCAAAAAAAAAAAAAAGCAAAGGAGGCATCAGAGGTTTGGCCCAGGGTTCAGAGAGATGGAGTGTGGGCTAAATTTATAAAGTAAACCAGAATTCAGATCTAGGCTCCTTATTCCCAGTAGCACACCTTACAGAATGGAACTACCAAGCACTTCCTGTCTCTCCACTGCTGTTTCCTCACTGCCAGCAGAGACACGCCCCTCAGCTACTGAGGGAAAGAAAAACCGTGTGTGGAGTGTCCTGCTTGTCCAGAGCATCAGAAAGGACACAGCACCTATAAGGACCAAGTCAGCTATAAGCAGCCATCTTTTTACCATTGAGTTCCCTCTGTTTGCTCAGCCCAGCGGGTGCCTCTTCCTCTTTCAGAAGTTTATGAACGAACAACGTTATCTTTTGACCCCTTTCCCTTGCTCAAGATCTTAAATGTTCTCAGTGTTCCCTTTGCTTGTCTTCCAGCTCCCTTTCAGTTTTCCGTAAGCTCTTTTCAGCCTTTGTATGTGTCCTTGGCTGTTCTGGAACTCACTAAGTGGCCCATGCTGGCCTCTGCTCACAGCAGTACTCCTGCCTCATCTTCCCAAGTGTTGAGCTTGTACGTGTTCCACAATGCCCAGCTTTTCCTAACCTTGCAAGTGTGGTAGAGATGCCCTACACTATGTGTCCATTCTCACTGTAGATAGGAAGAATGGAATGAGGTTTTCCCAGAGCCATGTAAGTATGGTAACATCTAGGCCCTAAACTTAGCATCTGTCATCTCCGGTTAGCTCCCCATCACCCCAGGAGGAGGAAAGTACTTAATGGCTGTATACTCAGAACACGACACACTTTTGTTCTTCCAAGATCCCAGTGTTCTGACATTCTCCAGTAAGGTAGAGTAGGGAAGAGGAATGGAGGTTTAGAGATTAGGAGGGTAGTTTGGGCCAGGAAAAAAAATCCTGAGATCAGAGTGACAATAATCCAAATGCATACCACATCTAACTGGAGCATAGAGTATTTGTGCCTGTGTGTGTGCCTGTGTGTGTGTGCGTGTGTGTGTGTGTGTGTGTGTGTGTGTTACCGGGGAGCAAACCTAGGGCCTCATAACCTGCTAGCCTAGCACTCTACCACCGAGCTACACTCCCCACCCATCTTTATTTTGAGGCTGGTTGCCCAGGCTGGCTTTGAACTCTACTTCAGGCAGTCTTTGAACTTCAGAAATCCCTGCCTGTCTCCTAAGTAGCTGGAATTACATGCAGGTACCACCAGGTCCAGGTACAACTCTGTTTCTTGCCATCAGATACTTATCTCTTTGAGGACTCATACTTGTCTTGAGACTGTTTTGTCATCATTATAGTTTCTGTGCCTCTCATACTGTCTTATGTTGAATTCTTAGACTTTCTCTATCAGCAACCAAAGTAAGTTTAACTAATGCCTGGCTTGCTGCCCCGTATCTAACCTTACCCCCCCATACTTCCCACTGTGATACAAACGATAACTGTGCATTAAAGAATGTAAAACTAATAGCTTCTCATCTTATAAACTAAGCAGCCCACTTAAAGCTGGGCTATCCTAAGTCTGGTTCCTTTGAACAAGGGTTCCTCTATCTCCACCACAGGGAATCCACACATGTCTCTGTGTATATGCAGACAGGTCCATGCTTCTCAGGGACACGATGTAGAAAAGGGAAGAGGTCGGAGATGCCGGTCAGAATGAAGGCAGGTTAGAGGAGATGAGCAGAGGAATGGAGTGGGATCGCAGTAAGGAGAGGCAATACTTGGAAAGATGGGAATACTGGGTGGGCTACACTGGCATGAGCAGGGGTTAAGAGGGCAATGATAGGAGAGTCGAGCCTCATAAGGTGCGGGAGGAACAAAGAAGCAGGTAAAGCTACAGAGGGAAGGACTTGGGAGTCCCTAACACCCATTTAGGCCCAGCTCTGGTGGGGAGGGGAAGGGGCCACATCTGTGTTGGATTGATTTGGTTGGTGGCAGGCAGCAGGTCAGGTTTAGTAGGCGGTGCTGATGGGGGAGAGAGGTCATTGCACTATTTTCAGCAAAGGCCCAACCCCCTCTCTGCTTACAGCCTCCACCCCACCACACACCCTCGCCCAACTCAGGCTGGATGGCCCAGGGGCAGGAGGTTGGGCGAGAGGGCAGGGGCCTCTGAGTGAGCGCAGGAGAGACAAACTGAGGGGCCGGGCTTGGCTCCCAGAAGAGCAGGGGGCTGGGTTCCCAGGGATGCAGGCTGGGGTGGGAGAGTGAGAGGGTAGAGGGAACTAGGGCAGGCAGACAGCCTAGGAAAGGTGGGGGCTGGGGTCCGGGGTTGGCTGGGGGAGGGGAGGCAGGGGGAGGGGAGCAGAGGCCATCTCTGCTGACAAACACCTCCCCCGATTAGCAGAGCACAAGTCTCTTATTAAAGCGGGTCCCTGGGGATTAGACTATAAAAGTCTCTTTTTCCTTTTCCCCTCTCTCCCTCCCTCCCCTCCCCTCTACTCCCCCTCCCTCTCTTAAGGTCGCAGCTAGACTCTTAAAGGGGAAGTACAATACCTGGTTTGAAACCCAGTTCCTGGATTACCTAAAGTCCTGGAGTGGTACTAAAATGATGCACTCCCGCCCCGGGACAACCTCTACTGCCAGTCCGTGCAATCAGTCCCTTCACTTCTGCGGCTCCCCGTGGCCAGAGTTAATTCTGGGCTCAAGCTTTTTGGGTAAGGGATGCTAGGAATAGTGAAGGGCAATGGGAAGCCCACAGCTTAGGTCACTCACCCTGGAAACACACACTTTACACCACACAGACCAGAATAACAACATTTTAGGTCATTCATAAATTCTCTACAACTGTTTTCTAGAATCCTTTCCCCATCCCCACCCTGAGTCAGTCTCAGACTGACCAGGGTTTCCAAAAGTAGTAGCCTTAAGAACAAGGGGAACTGAGAAACCAAGATCAGATCTCTCTCCATGCCTACACACACACACACACACACACACACACACACACACACACACACACACACGAGAGTTTCCTGGTTCTTTTGAGTTTTCTTTACAAGCCTGATCAAGTTGGAGTTGAATTCTGCAGAACCTGGGTGGCAGTGCCACGCATTCAACCTTCCAGATGCACACCTGGGTTCCTGTACCTCTACCATGGGGGTGGGCCACTAGGATTTCCCGAAGCCCCCAGCTTTTTATGACCCATCTGCCAATAAACCAGCCTCTCCCCCCCCACCTCTGTTCAGAGCCATAAAACCAAAGGAGGGGGGCTTGCCAAACCACTAGGGAATAGAGAAAGCCTGATTCCCTAGAGTTGGGGGGGGGGGGAACGACAGTCGATGGGGGAGGGGAAAGGGGAGTCACCTGACCCTAGGGAAAGCCGGCAGTGGGGGCGGTAGTATTGGCCTGGATTTTCCAGGCCATAAAATTTCAAAGCAGTTCATGTCTATTAAGTGTTCATCCTCCGTTTGGCCAGGGGCTCGGATGCCTGGGTTCTCCCATCCCCCTCATCTAGTTCTTTCTCCCTGGGTCCTCTCAGGGTCCAGCTGTGGGTAGGACAGGGAATAAGGGACAGAACACTAAGGTGAGAGTAACCAAATGATACTCATTAAGTCGCAAGCGCAGTGGAGTTGAGTTGTTTGAGCTCTTTCTGTACCAGGAGGGAACAGCTCTTCAAGCTCCTAGGGAATGCCCAGTGCGAGATCAGGTGCAGAAAGGAACGGTGTCAGTCAGAGGGACACCAGGTTTGGGTCCTATGCCTGTGGGGTTAGAGGAACTTCACTTCTCCGCAGCCTGGTGGGCGCCTTACGGAGCCCCGGGCAAGGAGTTAGTGCTGGTGCCAGAGCAATGGGAAGGTGGCATTGCGGCGGGCCCAGCTGGGACTGCACGGGTCACGGAATCTCCCCACCTCGCGCTTCAAGGAGAGTCACTGTTGGGTGCCAGTTTCTGGGACTATTTCAACTTAAGTCATTTTTCCGCACAAGGGATGGGAAGCAGTATCTCACAACCTGCCGGGTTTGGCCGGCCCCCCCCCGGCCCATCCTCACCCCCCCTCCCAACGGGGCGTGCACTCAACTCCGCGGCCCATCTTCACTGCTCGAAAAAGTTATGTGGAGTAGCCCGGCTCCCCTATCCGTCAAGTTTTTGCAGAAAGGGCTTCCGGGTCCTTCCCGAGATTGGACCGCACCGCGCGCACCCCGCAGCCCACTTACTCTCCTGGGCCATGCTTATGACCGTCTCCGTGGTAGCGTGGTACTCGTCCTCTTCCAAGAAGTCCTCGGGCTGCAGAGCGTCGCCTTGGAAGTCGTGCAGATCCAGGATCTGCTGCAGCGGCGGCGCCTTAGGCAGCAGCTGCTTCACCACCTCCCGGCTGATGTTGGGCGCCTCCTTGAGCCGCAGTTTGCTCAGGATCTGCGACTTGATGCTCTCCAGGCGCAGCTCGCGGCTGTGCTGCCGCCACACGCACACGGGGCAGCCGTCCGGCTCCGGCGCAGCGGACGCGGCCGGCCGGCTCGAGCGCTCCCCCCCGACCCCGGCCGCCGCCGCCGCCGCTGCCGCCGCCGCCGCCGCCGCGGGGCCCTCGGCCGCCTCCCCCCGGGGCCGCAGCTCCAGGGCGAGGAGCAGGAAGCCCAGCAGCAGCGGGGCCGCGAGCACCATGCTGCAGGGGAGGGGGAGGAGGACTGGGGGGCGGGGACGCCGGAGTCCCGCGGGGAGGGGGCGGAGGGAAGAGGGAGGAGGAGGAGGAGGGGGTCCGGGCGGCGCGGGATTGGGGGCTGCCCGGCCGAGGGGGGGGCCGGGGGCCGGGGGCGGCGGGCGCACGGGCGGGGCGGGCGGGCGGCCGGGGCGGGCGGCTGGGGGGGCCCAAGCCCGGGCCGGGCCCTTTATAGCCCCGGCCCCCGTGTCGTCAGCGCCCGCGATTGGCTGCGGAGCCAACAAAAGAGGTAGCGCTGTCATCCGAGGCGAGAGAGGGAGCCGGAGAGAGCCGAGGAAAAGAGAGAGAGAGAGAGAGAGAGAGAGAGAGAGAGAGAGAGAGAGAGAGAGAGAGAGGGAGGGAGGGAGGGAGGGAGGGAGGGAGGGAGGGAGGGAGGGAGGGAGGGAGGGAGAAGAGAGAGAGAAGAGAGGGAGGGAGGGAAGGAGCGAGGGAGCACGGGCCAGAGAAAGATGAAGAGACCGAGCGAGAGATGAGGGGGAGGGGGAGGCCGGGAGGGACCGAGTCAGAGAGACCGGGGACAGACGGAGCTATGAGTAGGGGTTGGGGGTGGGGGACGAGGCACATCCAAAGAGACCCAGATAGGAAGGGAAGAGGGAGAGACAAAAGGGGAAAGAAGTCGCAGAGGGGAGAGACTTAGCTAGAGAGTCAGAGCAAAGATGGATAAGGACCAGAAAAACTAGTGGGACAGTGGAGAGAGTAGACAGAGTCAGAGACAAAGGTAGACCGCGAAGAGGGGCGGGCGGCTGACCGAATTCTACAGAGTCGAACGGGAGAGAAGCAGGGGAGGTGGGAGCTGACAGAGATTCGGTGGGGACAGGGGGTCGCTTGGAGGGAGCCCCCGATGAGGCAGGTGCAGAGAAAACATCAGAAGGCAAGATTCTCCTGCAGCAAAGAGGAACAGGGACAAGCCCATCGTGGTGGGAGCGAATAGACACCCAAGGGGAGGAGGTGGAGATGTGGAGAGTAGCCTCGGCTACTTGAGGTAGCCCAGGATGCTTAAAGAAGCCACACCGTGAAACATCAGGGCCGACTTTCACAGGGGCCAAGGAGATTAGGAGAACAAGGGGCCAGGGTGAAGCTAAGAAGTTGGGGAGGTGATGATGGCAAGTCCTGAGACCGGAAGAAAACTAGCTGGGAGGCCCGTGAGCTTGAAATTGAGGTTTTAACGGAACAAAGAGAGCGATCGCGCTGGAAAGGATGGGAGCCATGAGGAAAAGAGCCAGATGAGACAGGGCTCGAACGTGGTGCCTGGAACCTGGACCCCCGCGTTCCCAGTCATGCCTCTGCACCGTCTTACATGTCTGGAAAAAGAGCTTGACGTTTAAGGCGGAAGGGTGGGGAGAGGTCTATACTCAGATACCTGATGTGTAGACAGGCAAGCTGCAAGGGAGGCAACTCAGGTGTGGGAGCAGCCTTAGTGTTCAGGTGTGACCCCCAAGCGTAGCCAGACGGTGGGACAGAAGACGGAAGAGTGCCAAGTGATAAAATGACTTCAAGGTGGTCACTAATACCGGTTACTTTTCCCAAGACCTCAGTTTCTCTCTCTCCCTCTCCACCTCCCCTAAACCCTTTCCCTACACTCCATTCTATCTTTGAGACTGGGTCTCAGTCATCCTCCTGCCTCGGCCTTCGGAGAGCCCTTTGCCTAGACATGCTTTGACCTGTGTCTGGAGATACCTTGGCAAACTGGAAATGTTTGGGGGTTGGGTCTTGCTCCTTTGCTATCACACAAAATATTACCTGATCAAAACATATAAACTTCAGTAGGAAGGTCCATCTCAAACTGGGATTCTTGGGCCGGTAGAAGGCTCTCTGGGATTAAAACCAAACAAAATATTGCTAACTGGGCATGGTGATTTATGCCATTAATCCCAGCAGTTGGGAGGCAGAGGCAGGCAGAAATCTGTGAGTTCCAGGACAGCCAAGGGAACATTGTGAGACCCTGTCTCTGAAAAACAAACAAACACCCCATAAACACCCTGAGAGCCCAGTGTCACCCTTTCTGTTCCTTTAGAGAACACAGCTGGCATATTCCCTTATCAAACGTGCATTCTAGTGGAAGATGCAAAAACAATCGAGATGCTAAGACTCTGCTTTCCTTCAAGCAGCACACTTGTTATACCAGCTAATGCTCTGGTCCAGAGAATTTGAGGTACCTCAAACATCACAGATCAAGCGGAGGAGCCCTTTCCTCTCATATGTGCCCTATCCTGCGGGCTTCCCTTAATGACTGGCAGTCACCCAGACTACGTATCCGTATCCATATCCGGGTGTAGCATTCCAGCCTTATCATCCAAGCTGTCTCCTCAGAACAACTTTTCAGCTGGCTGGAGCTCAGGAGCTCAGTGTGATGTGTGCACACTTAGCCTGTCAAGGCCTGACCCCTCCCACACAACTTCCAGTCTCCCAATCTCTTGGCCAAATTTACTTTTTCATTAGGTCTCAGTAGAGATGAGATTTTTAGACAAGTCGTTCAGGAGTCTTTTCCTTATTCTAGCTTCTCTGATAGAACTAGGCTGACTGTATCTATGCAACCTCCCTTTCTGGCTATGTGAACTCCTGTGTGTGTGTGTGTGTGTGTGTGTGTGTGTGTGTGTGTGTGTAGGGGCACTCAAGTGTGAGCTCAAGTGCACAGGAGAACAAAAGGAGTCTTAATAATTTTCCGGAGTAAATTCTCTTTCCACCATGTGGGTCCCTGGGACCTATGTCAGGTCTTCAGGCTTGGTGGCAAGTGCCCTTACCTGCTGAGCCACCCTGCCAGCCCAAGTTATTAAACCCCTTTACAACTAGAGTTCTTCTTTGTAAGATGGGAATTACAATACTGCAGCCATTTTTGAGACATTATGAAGATCAAAGGTCTGACCCACCATTCTAACTGTGTTAGTCATCACCTCTTAATTCTGCTTGTAACCTTCATGCTGTGACACCCAACAGAGCAGACCCTTTTCTCTAAAGCATTCCTTTGCTTCTTTGACTAAAAAGTTGAATGCACCTTCATGAGGGAACCTGGTCAGAGCTGGGGGGGGGCGTGAAGAAAACTGTGTATTTGTGCCCACAAGGGGTTGTTGTGTGCCAAATAACCAGGAACAATTTGCCAGACAGATTTCCCTCCATCACTAGGACTACAGGTAATTCATTAAGTGGGCAATCCTGCCCTCTGGTGGAATAATATGAAACGGCAACCCAGTGGTTTTGATATTTTGCCTTTTAGACTTCAAGTCCCCAAGTACTGGTCTCCAACCTGGAACCCGGGTTGGTAGGCAAACTCTGGACCTATGAACAACACCGTCAGCCGAAGTTCTAAAATACAGTAAGCCTTGTCCCTTCTCCACCTCTTTCCACGACTTCTCTCAGGCCTGGTTCCTTAGGATTCTTCTGAGGTGCAGAGAAAGTAACCCTTAGGTTTCTTTTTGGAACTTCAACACTCCAGCTGCCCCAGACCCAGTCATGAGGAGGGGACACTGGTTGCAAAGGAAGGAAAGGAGTTGGAAGAGAGCAGGACATTAAGACTTTTGCTTGCTGAGATACAAAACACATGGCTGTAACTAAACTGAACAGTCGAGAGGCTGAGGCAGGACGATGGCCGTGAGTCAAGGTCAGGCTGGGCTACCTAGAGAGACCTTGTCACTAACCAAATAACCAACCAAACAACCAAACCACCCATCCTTTGCTTATCCCGCCGGTATGTGCCAACCCTGGCTTGGGTCCCAGCCCACTGTCCTGGTCTCCCTGGTAACTAACTGCCTTCCTACTAGGGGTGCCCCCTCTGCTAGTGTTGCCCAGGAAACCTTCTGGCCTGCCTCCTTTAAGGTCCTGACTGGTGAGAAGGAGGCGTGTACCAAGGGGCGGACCTTGGCTGAGGGACAGAAGTGCGTTCTAGGATATGCAGTCTGTTAACAACCTTAGAAACAAGAACTTCTGTTCCTGGGATTCTGTCGCCAGTTTTCGAGGCTAAGGGGTACTCCTCCCCGCCTTGTACGTCAGAGCTGCCTCCTTTGAGAGAATTTCCCCAACCTTCCTATCCAAGTGCTATCCAGGCCCTACCCAGTTTAGCTTCTGAGATTAGGCGAGGTCAGGTCATGGCGGTATGCTGGTAGACAGGATTCCCGAATCCTACCTCCTCTCACTTTTTGTCCCCAAAGGCCTTATTTCAGGGTTTAACGTCTTTATTCCTTGGCACTTGGCTTTTTTGGGGTGGGTGAGGAGACATGGGATGGTTGCATTGTAGTTCAGGGGAGAGGGCGTCCCTGGAGGCCTAACTCCCTACTCTCCTGACCTAGTGTGTGCCTCTGGGGATGTAGAGAGGGCTTTTGTGGCTGGGATAGTATGCTGAAGGCGTGGACCTTTGCAAGGCCTCTGCCCACAAACCCTGCGGTCCCCAAGAGGACCTTACTGTGTAATTATTGCCCCTTACCATATCATGTTCTCCAAACCCCAAAGTTATGTTGCCTGCGTCCCTGGGCAGCCCCGCTAACTTTAGCTTCTCTGAGAGAAGCTGGGGGCTGGGAGAAGGGCTCCAAAGAGTTTGTGATACGGGCTGTGGTGGTGGTGATGGAGGCATAGCATAGTACAGTTTGGAGATTGTACAAATTACTAGGGGTCATGACTTCCTTTGTTTGCCTCGAGCCCCCAGAGAAGAGCATTCTCGGAACTCCAGTCAACCTCCCCTAACCTTCTCAGGGAATGCCAGCCCTCCCACACCGCCCTTTCCTTTCACTATTGGTTTTCCCAGGTCTCTCCACCCTTTCTGTGCCTCTCTTACATAGTGCTCCCTCTCCAGGACCTTGAAGTCCTAAAACTTCAGGGTCAGACGGGGCCTTCCAGCAGAGGGCGCCATATTCCGGTCAAAGAAAAGGAGAGAATCTGTGCACAATGTTTTTACTCTTCCAGGGACAACAAAATGCTGCCAGATGGGCTGAGACCTGGGGGGTGGGGGTGGGGGACAGGACGAGACACACGACTGACAA